AAGGCTCTGCCCCTGGGAGGTCCAGCTCAGAGCAGTCTCAGCCAGCACAGCAAAATTGTGTGTGGTTGAAGCCAGCCACATTTCTCCAGGCTTAAGTACGGCAGTAGTTTGCTTTATCTCAAAGGGTTACTGCTGTCCATGAAGCTGAGCACGTTTGACTTCCCTGCAGAATGAGGGCCGCCGTGGATCCGACTCAAATCGGTGGCATGTCCAGGCAGGCCCAGGGCTGCAGCCAGGGCCAGTGCTGCCAGTCGGATTGCATCCGCACCACACATGCACCGCAAGACTGGCACCTAAGACTTGCTTTGTGTGCACCGCGTGGCTCCGCAACCTGTGACGGCCGCCGTGCCGACCAGGTGGAGTTGCTTTTCAAAACCTCATGGGTACAACCTCTTGCAGACACTGTACCCAATGCCACGAGATTATTTTTTGCAGCCCTGAATACCATAGTATGTTTCTTATGAGCTGGGCTGAGGTGATGATGCCCTCTGAAGGGCATACATCACCTAGGAGAGTGCACTCAATGGTAAGGTGACATTACTCCAGCCAAGGTCCGATGTGGTTTGCAATAGTGAATGCCTGACGCTGCGCAGAGGGAGAGGAGCTGCAGCGAAACCCGTTGTGGTCCCAGTTCTCACATTAGCCGTGCTCTTTCTCACCGCAGGTTACATCCAAGCCTGCAGAGGACTGATGATCTCCGCCGTCTGCCTGGGCTTCTTCGGTGCCGTTTTTGGACTGGTTGGGATGAAGTGTACAAAAGTCGGAGGCTCCGATCAGACTAAAGCAAAAATAGCTTGTTTAGCTGGACTGATTTTCATACTCTCTGGTAAATATGCCTTATTTCTTTAAGTTTGGGTATTTGAAGTCATACCAGAGCTGCTTCTTTTCTGCAGAAATCCACGCGCAATTCTCCATGACTTCATTGGCTTCAGGGTCACGCCCAAAGCTCTTCTGCTGGCTCCACTGAATGGTTTGTCTTATGCTTTTCAGGGTTGTGCTCTATGACTAGTTGTTCCCTGTATGCAAACAGGATCACGTCTGAGTTCTTTGATCCTTCTTTTGTTGCACAAAAGTAAGTACTTTCCTATACCCATAAATCTTTCAAAGAAGTAGACCTTAAGTTTCAAACTGTGCACCAGAGCCCATTTAGACAGAGAGCAGGTGCTTCTCCTCTTGGGCAGAGAAGGAGAGTGGCCTGCAGTTTTATTTAATCATATTTTCCAACTGTAGTAACCGTGAGCTTAAATTTAATGAACAAACACCTTCCCGTACAGTGATTGCTCTGTAATCTTTGTGCCCAGGCTTATTGCAGCTCGGCAGGGTTCTGCCCCGCTTGCCGCAGAGCGAATGGGGATAAGCAGGAGTGAGCTTGTGTTTATGTCAGAGATGAAGCAAAAGGATTGCACAAGACAGAAGCGCTCAATTAGGCGCATCATTCGATAGGAAAGGAAGAAAATTATTTCCTTAAGCTTTTGATAGAAGGTGGTTTCCATAAAGTTGTCGAGCACTGCGCAATCTTGACTCCTCTTGAAGAGAGGTTTCTGCAGGCTCTGTGGACTTTTTGCTGAGTGATTTTCAAATCCAGATGACTGAAATTTGGATCACAAACCTTATCGTAACCCGTGATCATATAAGCACTAACATAAACCCTTTGGCTATATGTGTAATTAAATTTAAGGGACTGAGTGTTTATAGAATTGCAGGATCCATACCAGAAATAAAGAAGCATCCCTAAAGACTCCCTTTAGAGCTGTGCAAGTTCTCATGACCTACGAAGGCAGCAATTCACAAACCAGTGCTTGGATTTTGGGTTCACATCCACCAAGTCTGAAAACATTGGCTGTAAATTATACCATCATGGACTTTCTTGTTTTGGCTTCTTACATAAAGCTATCTTTAAAGACAAGAATTTCAAAGTTTTCTTGGTGGTGATTCCAGAATAAGTCAAGCATCAGGTACAAATTTCCCTGAGACCCAAGAAAGGGCTCAGTAAGGAACCCTGAGCCTTTCCATTTCTCCTTGATAGAAAGAAAATAGTCTGAATAAATAACATTAACTGCATCCACGTATGTGGTAGGGCTGTGGTAGGGCTGACACTGCTTCTCCTGTCTTGAAAACAGGTTCATATTAGTTTCCTCCATAATTCTGCTATAGTTTCTGCTTGTTTGGACGGTGAGGACAGGATCCAAAGGCCTCCAAAAGAAACAAGGATGTGAGGTGCTGTGAAGAAAATGGAGCCTGGCTATATAGCCAGAAGTTAATTATTCATCAGGCTTACTGTTCCTAGTGAAAAATACCATGGTTGTTGCCAGAAGTCCCTTTCCTACGCTGTATTCCTACACTCTTCTGCTGCAAAAGAGCAGGCAGACCTCACAGTGGAGTTTTACTGCGAGGGAATGAGAAATCCAGTTTAAATCTCAAAATAGAGGTACTAAAACATCCTCTGCAGAAATTACCTTTTTCCTGAACAACCAGCGTAGCTCAGCTGTGGGGACACATAATCACGACTGCAAAGATCAAGGCAGAGAGGAAAGCCGGAAGTTGTATTTTGAGTTGGCACGGTGTATGTAGCTCATGCAATGACCTTGCATCAGCTGAAGCTAACGCTGGCGTTCGACTCTTTTCTCTCTCAACCAATGTAAAATACGTTGGAGTAATGTATTTTGTTGCCGTCCGTGAACTCTTACTTTAATATGTATGGCAGAAGCATGTAATACGCTTTGCTGGTATATTCTGGAAATTTGGCATTGGCTCTTCACTGAGAGAGGGTGCTGCTTTGGGTTTCAGTCTTTCACCTTTTACTGCACATTTCTCTCCTGAATTTATTCTGGTGGTGTCAAAGACAGGCTTGAGATGCTGTTAGTGGAAAACAAACACCACGAGATGTTAGCATCATCTCGGCCATCAGAATTTCCCTTCAGCCTTCTGCATTTGGAAGAGGCACCCTGGCTATGTATGGGTGCAGGAGGAACCAGAGACCTGCCTAAAGCTGTTGGCCAGGAGACTTCTGGTTTGAATTATGTACCAAACTGAGGAATGGCAGGCACCATGGGGACACCCTAGAACCCACCTTACTTAGAAAGAAATCTTAGGCTGGACTTCATGTCCCAATGCGATAGTTTGCATTGCCAGTTTAAAACAGCTGCAAAGGAATTGCTTGACCCTACATAATAACACACGCAGAGTCTTGGGGACAGCACGGGATGCCTTGGTGCTTGCAGCCAAGATGGATTTCATTTTTCTTCAGACATCTGTAATAGGGGAAAATCTGTGCTTCTGTTTTGCTGTCTTGCTAATGTTGGTCCCACAGCTTCTCTTCGGAAACTATTTTGTCACTTTACTACTTTAATTAAAAAAAACCCTCTTACAGTCTTTATCCTTTTTGTCCTTTGCTGCAGTTTGAACTCCATAATCATGATCATTCTCACTGATGAACAGGGTTAGTGTATCCAAATTATCTGACTAACTTCCTTTTCTCTTTTATGGAGAATTGTTTCCCTTCAGCTTTCTTGTCTCTGAATGGATTATGCAGAGTTCACACAGGCCCTCTTTCCACTGTCCTGCTGTTATATTTGAATCTATTTTTCATTTTCCAAGAATCATAAGAATTAGACATTCAAAATGCGTATTTCCCTTGGGTAGTTGTGCTGATTCGGTAGGTAGGTAGGTCTCTCCTTTACATATGCCGACATCTAGCTGGCTAATGAAGCTTCCACTGGTTTGCTTGGAAGTTTACTTCGTGGTCCTAATGTACGTAACAACTAGAATGTTTTTCTTCTATACTGATATTGTACTTTCTTTCTTTCACTGAATTCTGCCTCTCTTACTGGATTACAGCAAAAACTCTGCTTTTAGCCTGCTTGGTCAGTGTAGCTGAAGGTGGCTTTCAGTTCTCTGCAGTTGAATTCTCGTAGTCCTCAATGATCACCAGCTCTAAGCCTCTTCATCAATGTCCCACTCCCTGCTGAGCTGCCAGCGATCTCTAATCAGATTGATTTCACTGACCGGAGACAGTGGATATGCTGAAGCACACGCTTCGGAGAGCGGCTGCTTTGGTTCTTGCAACCAAGAATTGTAAGAACAGAAGAGTGTGTTTCCTGCAAAGATTTTAATGATAAAGAGGAAAGGGAAAAACAGCAAGTGCAGAAATTTCTTCTAAGAAAGCCTATCTCCTTTTTTTTTTTCTTTTTTTTTCTGGAGGTATCAATGTATGTAAGTGTTTTTTCATATGGTAAGGTTTTTTTACATACTGGATTTTGATGGAGGTTATGGTTGGCTTCTTAAATGCTGAAAAGATGGATTGGATAAAAGCCAGGAAGCCATACACAGGCTGATATGCAATTGAAAATTTGAAGTTTTCCTCATAAGCACCAGTGTAAATCAGAAAGGTTTTTTTGTCTGTTTAGAGATGTGGAGGAAAGACCAATTAGGCCAGCTCTGCAACTCATTAACCTAGCGGTGTGGCAGTCACCCAAGAAGAGTGCATATATGCAATCTGTTTATACATGTTATAGTAACAAATGTTGCTTAAAAAGTACAAACAATCCCAAGAACAAAGGCCGGACCCAATGTCTTCTTTCCCAACTAGCAGGCAAGAGTCAGGTAACCCTTTTCTACCCAATTAAACTCAATGTAATCTTGATTTCTTTCCTGTACAACTGAAGAGCTTCAGGAGGGGAGATGGTAATTGGTCTCCTTATCTCTGTCACATTAGCCTCTGGCCAACTGTTTAATGTTGTTAGGTGGAAATGTGGAAATGAACTTGTGTTTCCCACTTTCTAGGCAAATGGTCTTGACGAGTAAGTTGTTACAGCAACAGCCGTCCTGGGTCTTGGTCCAGCTGTGTCCTGCAGCACCGTGGTGGTCTGCGCTGGCTTTTGTGGGGAGCCTGACCCTGGTCCGTGTACCTTAGGTGTGCTCTGGCAGTACCTGCGGGATGGAGGGATCCCCAGGATGGGGCTGACCTCACATTGGAGTTAGTCACTTTGATATGCCTTTACAGCTCGTTGAAAGAGGTGCCTTGAGGGTGTTTTAGAAGCCTACTTTGTGTGTATTTCTTGCGTGTTGACTACAACGGGATCCTAGGTGATGAGCTCTGATGTAGATATCTGCTGCTAATCAGAGAACCCCCAGTCCTTGAACAGACAGAAATCTGCTCAAGTCTTGTGAAAACTGTAGCACATGGTTGGAAATGGGAGCATAGTTAGAATTAAAGCTTTACACGCTTCGCAGATTTTTAAGTCAAACGGAGCTGGGCGTAGAGTTTTGCAGGGTGAAAGGCAGCTGAGCGATGGTTTCCAGCAGTTTAATTTGGGGATTGGATGCCTAAATCCCACACTGGGTATGGAGAATGTTTGGAGGAATCTGATCCTTTTTTAACAAGGGATGATAAATAAAAACTCTGCTTAGATATGTGAACAGAAAATGAAAAAGAAGCCTAGAAGTTGGAGCACTAGCAGGGCCATGAGGAGTCAGGTGCAAGCCCTCACGAAGTGTCCTACCTCTGAGCTCCAGTGGCTCCATCTCTTTTTGGCAGCAAGTCCCTGACTCAGAAATGACTTGAACCTGGGTGTCCACATCATCTAGCACTGATATCCTAAGTGTGGCTTTTTCTCCCTGTGTGACTTTTTTTTTTAAGTCCATGCTTTACCTCTGGTTAGAATCTCAAGAAAACATGGAAATGTGATTTTTCTTTTTTTTTTTTTTTTTTTTTTTTTTTTTTTTTTTTTTTTTTTTTTTTTTTTTTTTTTTTTTTTTTTTTTTTTTTTTTTTTTTTTTTTTTTTTTTTTTTTTTTTTTTTTTTTTTTTTTTTTTTTTTTTTTTTTTTTTTTTTTTTTTTTTTTTTTTTTTTTGTTGTTCTCCAACCAGTGTTCACCCTTGTGTGACCTATTATAGAAGTTGCTATATAATTTTCTGGGTGTCTGGGCTCACAGGCAATTTTTGAGTGTTTCCGCAGTGTCATCTTTGTAAAGATACAAGTTTTGTAGAACAGCTTAACGGGCGTTTTCAGTTACGTATTTCAGCTAATGTTAAATTAGGATGTGTTCACATGGAAATGTTCAGAACTAGCTGAAAAGCATGCAACTGCGCAGTCTTCCTGTTGTTCAGGCAGGCTGTCAAGCAGAGGCTTTCGTTCGGCTGCCTCAGCAGAGTTTACAATAAATGAACAAACTTACTATCAAAGGCTTGAACAGCACAGCCCCCTGACCAGTAACTGTGGCTGGATGGGGGACAGGGGCCTGTGTTTTCAGCGCAGGATTCTGGGATTCAGGAAGAGGTAAAGGTTTCTTCAAGGAGGAACTGGAGCAGAGCAGAAGGAGCAAGAGACACCCAGTCTGTGCTAAATAGTGAGGAATAGGAGGGACTCTGGAGACTGTTGGGCCTGCGGTCTAACGTGGGTCATCCTGAAAGTGTTTCAAAGAGCGGTACCTCGGGCAGAGAGCTGGTGAATGGAGCAGACAAGTGGTAGCCATGGCTTGCTGCTCGTCTTGAAGCTCCAGAGCTCAGGTTATGGGCGCCGAGCTCGAGCAGCGGGAGGAAAAGAATGTCTTCCCCATGCCCTTCTTTTCCTTCAGGTACCACTGTTGCTTTAGAGGCTTGGACTTGCCCCCGTGTGATAACGCTCCTGAAGCAGCACCATCTCCTCTCGGAGTCAAACTGAGCAGTTTCTGGCTGCAAACACGTGGTGGCTGCCCCGGGTGGCAGAGGGGACTGTTGGTGGTGACCCGGAGCCGTGCCCAGGGGCTCGGAGGGGAGCGGCGTCTCCCAGCCTGAATCCAGCCACAGGGACTAGAGAAGCAGAAAGTTGCCAGCACGTGCACCTGTGCGTGCGTGCACACGTGCATCTGCACACATGTATGTGCATATCTGTATATGCATGTATCAGATACATCTGTATACGTATATGCATACATTGCGTATGTGTGTATAGGTATTGCGTATGCATATTATATATACACGTATAAAAACCTCGTGTTTTAAGCAGGCTGGAGTGTGGCTAGGGAGGGAGATCCCGAGAGCCCAAGGGGAGAGTTAAGGAGAGTTGTCGGCAGCAGCTCTAGTCACCAGCTCAGTGAAAGCCCCGGTCCAGCTTGGGAGCCAGCGGGAACAAACCCAAAATGGTCCAAGGGGATAGGAGCCATGTGCTGTAAATGGGTCAAAGAATCATGTAACCCTGCAGCCAAGCAATCCAGGAGGAGATGTGGAAAAGCCAGGCACCCTGGCTGGCTGCGTGGGGAGATACGCATAGCCCAAGCGTACCGCAGGGATGGAGTTTGCCTCCTGAGTTAGAGGGAAATAATGAAAAGAACACGGGTGAACAGCAGAGCTGCTGATTTTGCGATATAACGTGTCAATGGCAAGTTATTCAGGAAAAAATAAAATTTAGTTCTTTTATTCTGAAAAACTGTTAAATCCATGCTTTCTTTTGTTAAACCCATTTATTAACTTCCTGTAGGTATGAACTAGGAGCAGCTTTGTTCATTGGATGGGCTGGAGCTTCACTCTGTATAATTGGTGGCAGTATATTCTGCTTCTCAATAGCTGAAAACAGTAATTCTCCAAGGTAAAACACAAGTTGTACTTATTGTACCCACTGTATGTATGTGGCTTGATTACTTTTCCAAAACGCTTTGTAGTGAGACTCAGAAAAGGATTGTGTGGATGAAGGGAAACAATGGGATTTAAGGATAATGCTCTCTCCATCATTCATGTAATTAAGAAAAGCTGTTGACTCAGAACAAATACTTGTGTTATATATACTTGATAATTTTACTACAGCCGGAAAAAAAATGCATTCACTGATGTAGGAAAAGTGGTCAAGTCACCTTACAGATGTGAACAGACAAGTTTGTTTAATCACAAATCATCAGATCAAAAGTCAGAGAGGTGAAGGACCGTGGTGGTGGCAGTAGGACCTCCAGCAGCAGAAGAGGGGCGAGAATGAAGAGGCACAGCTGGAGGGAGTGACTCTTCACCTAGGATCTGCCACAGCCTCAATATTTCATGTTTGGGCCCTAATTTACTTGGCTGTAAACAAGGGATACAAGTTTATATAAAAGTGAATTGCAAAGAGAGATGCTGGAGGGGAAATGTCAAATGAGAATGAGACCACAGAGGCAAGGAAGGTGTGTGTACCCCCTGAAATTTGTAGGTACACTCCTATACATTTCTTCTAGTTTTATATTGCCGTAACGCTTGGATACAGAGAAGTTACCTGGCTGTAGGATGAGCTGTAAATGGTTGATTCTCTTTTCTTTTCAGGAGGGGGTATGCATATAATGGAGCCACATCTGTGATGTCTTCTCGTACAAAGGTCCACAACAGCGTCCCAGACAAAACCCCACCAAAGCACTTTGACAAGAACGCTTATGTTTAATTGTACTGTTGGAAGATTCAAAGCGTTTTAATGTACGTTTCATGCAGAGTGATTTCTCCCCAACCCCAATGTAATTATCACTAAGACAATGAATTTTTAAAACATTAACTTGCAGCTTTTTACGTATTGATGTAAATTTTATTATATAATATTTTAAGATTGATGTTGGTATTGTGAAGTTTATACCTGGGAATCATGAGCTGATGTTGCTTTCTTGAAAAAAAATAAATGGGGTATTTACCAACTCAGTATGTCAGTTGCTTATGGGAATGGCATCACACACATCATACTGACTGCGGTGCATCACTGCAACCGTTTCTGAAATGGGTTCAGTACTGGAGAAAACAGCCATACTCTGTGCAGGTTAATATGTAAAATATCTCACCACTGATTAGCAGTGAAGTCGGAATTGCAGAGCACATCGTAAGTGCAGCACCAGACAGTGAGTCAGTGGGAACCAGCAGGCTCTTACCGCCTTATCACATTGCCGCGATGGATGAACGTGCAACTTGGTCAATTTGGTGCCATAGGAATAAGACGAGGAAGAGACTGGGTAAAGTGTAAGTAAGTATGGGATTTCGGGAGGCAGGAGCAGGTACTGAAAAGAATCAGGGCCAGTTGTTATGAAGACAGTCACTAGAGAGGCCTAAGAAGAACGTGTGCATGAGAAGAAGAATACATGCGTGATCGTGAGCATTTGTGTGCATGGCAGGGAGAGAAAAAGTTGAGGCTGCCGCCTTTGGGGAGTTTTGTGGTGGGCAAGACAAGGCTTGGAGACAGCTCCTATGTTCTGGATTTGCTTTGTGCCGCTGGGCTCCTGCCCTGCCTCAGCGCTCAGCCCTGCTGAGGACAAGTCACTTCCAGGAGGTTGCTTTCGTTCCGTCCTGCTGGGCAGGGGGCCGGGACACCTTTGGCTCCAGAATGGCTCCAGGCCACTGGGTTACAAAAGGGAAGGAAAAACCCCAGGCAATACCAGCTGGCCTGCTCTGCCAATGACATTCCTGAAGGACTGACCAAATAAAAGCAGGCAATACTTAACAGCGCTTTTTTTAGAATCATAGAATCGTTTATGTTGGAAAAGACCTTTAAG